TCGAAACGATATCACTGCAGACAATCACCTAAAGTGATTGAAATACAAGGATTCGCAAGATTTTTACGGCAAAACACCTTCGTCATTTCGAACAGATATGTGGATACGCAAGGATTAATAGCAAATTAATTACTACAATAGTAATTTGGCGACGTAAAAAAAGTTATTAGATACAACCAAAAATTTGCTACCAAAAGTCTACAGCGTGAGAACGCGAATAATATTGTCAGTTATAGTTAAAAATACTGACACGAAGGGTTTCGAAAAAAAGAGGTTCACTGTTTTTTTTTGTTTCTTTACAAGAAAGCAGAGTTTTTTTGTCACTGTAAGATTTTTTTTTCTCCTCTTCAAAGTTAAATGATTTGTCGAGTGAAAAATATATATTCGCGTAAGTCATTTGTGCTTAACAAAGACTGTTAAAAATTCGAGTCATATTTGTGCAAAACCACAATGAGGTTGGAAAAAAAATTTGTGATTTTCCCATTAGTCGACACTCCTTAAAGCGACGGATTTTTTGTTTTTTACGAGAAATACATATTTCTTTTTTGTGTATTAGTTGAGCAAACTAATTTTAGTAAGCAAGCCTTGGGAAAACTGATTTGTTTAATACAAGTGTAAACTGTATGGTGCGTAAATTGAATTCGTACCATGGACGCAGAATTAAGAGAGTCTCTTCTTCAATTGTTCAAATTTCAAACGGAACAAAGTCTCGCGTTGCAAAAGCAACAACTTCAACGACAACTTGAAAGCGAGGAGAAATTTAAAAAAGAGTTGTTGGAACAACAGAAACGCGTCTAACAAATCTTTATGAAAACACAGGAGGAACAGAGGAAACTTCTGGAGGCAACACAGTTAATGAATGCAAGCGAGAATCATAACGCATTCTCCCAGACGGCTGTGTGGAACGTTATTGAAAGTTTCAATTATAATCCAGAAGACGATGTCACGTATGCTCATTTCTATAGAAGATATGAGGATATATTTGTATCGGATTGCGGTACATGGACAGACGCTAAAAAAGTTAGGTTTCTGCTAAGAAAATTGGGAACTGCCGAGCATACAAAGTTCGTGAATTTTATCCTTCAAAAAAGACCAGTGAGTTGAACTTTCAAGAGACAGTTACTCTACTAACAGAATTGTTTTCTACAAAAACTTCTCTTTTCACAGGAGATATAAGTGTATGAATGTCACTAGAAGAGAGGAAGATGATTACACTACTTATGCAAGTATTGTAAACAAGCATTGGGACGACTTTAAACTGGAGGAATTATCATCAGATAATTTTAAATGTTTAATATTTGTGCAAGGGCTGGTTTTAGGTAAAGACGCTGAGATCAGGCGTCGTGTTTTAAATAAACTCGAAAATGAGCCGAATTTAAAACTACAAAGCTTAGCGGAAGACTATGAAAGGTTTGTTGCGTTGAAACAGGACAGTCGTGACATAGAGGAAAGCGGAGTGTCGCACATTAAAAAGGTCCATCAGAAGAAAAATTTAAGTTCAAAAAATAACCAGAGGAAAAAACAGGGAAAAGATCCACTTGGAACGCGTTGGAGGTGTGGAGATAAACATTGGTACAATGAGTGTACCTACAAATTCAAACAATGTGACAACTGCTACCGGAAGGGGCACAAGGCATCACATTGTAGGAAAAAATCTGGTAGAAAGAAGACATCCATTAAACTAACGAAAATTGAACCTGAGGAACGAAATATCCGGAAATTTGTACAGGTCAAAATGTTTAAAAAGAAAGTAAGACTACAGCTTGATAGTGGGTCTGATATTTCCATCATTAATATACAGACATGGAAGAAGCTTGGGAGACCCACTATGATTAAATCACATAAAACGGCGAGAAGCGTCAGTGGTGAAAAAATCACCTTCAAAGGAGAATTATTGACGAATATTTCCTTTCAGAATAAGTCCGAAAAAGCGAAAATTTTTGTCATGCGAAAATCAAATAACCTCTTTGGAACGGATCTGTTCGAAATACTTAGACTATGGGATCTGCCTTTAAGCTCTTTTTGTCAAAATGTTGAGGATTCGAATGTGGAGGCAGAAAAACTTAAGAGGTAGTTAAGAGAATTTTCCAGACGTATTTACAGGCGGTCTTGGAAGGTGTACGAAAGCAGTAGCAAAATTTCAAGTAAAAGAAAATGAACAGCCAGTGTTCAAAAAGAAAATAAAGGTTCCATACGTCGCTATAGAACAAATAGACGGTGAATTAGAAAGACTCGAAAACATGGGTGTCCTCGAAAAAATTGATCACAGTGAGTGGGCTACGCCAACAGTTTACATTAAAAAGAAGAGCAAGGAGATTAGGGTTTGCGCCGATTTCTCAACAGGTTTCAACAATGCATTAAAGGATCACCATTATCCCCTTCCGAGCCCTGAAGAAATATCCGCGAAACTGAGTGGAGGGAAATATTTTTCTAAAATCGACCTCAGTGACGCGTATTTACAAATCCCAGTCAATCAGGAGTGTTCAAAGCTGCTATGCATCAATGCCCATAAGGGATTATACAAGTTTAACAGACTTCCTTTTGGGGTCAAAGTCGCCCCTGTGATTTTTCAGCAAACAATGGACATGCTGTTAAGTGGGCTGGACTTCGCAGTAGGGTACCTGGACGATGTGTTAATGAACAGCGCTAGCAAAGAACCACACAAAGCTCATGTAAACCAAGTATTCAAAAGGATCCAGTATTTTGGATTTAAACTGAAACAGGAAAAATGTACCTTTTTCATGGAAAAAATAAAATACTTGGAGCAAATTATCGATGAACATGGAAGAAGGCCGGATCCAGATAGATCGAGTGCAATAAGGGACATGCCTGCTCCAGAAAATATTGCGTCTCTACAAAGTTTCTTAGGGTTGACGAATTATTACAATGTATTCGTGCCAAATATGCATAAACTAAGATCACCCTTAAATGAATTGTTAAGGAAGGACCAAAAATGGGTCTGGACGCAAGAGTGCGAAAAAGAAGCATTTCAGGAAATTAAAGATATATTAACGTCTGACTTGTTTCTGGCACATTATAATCCCAAGCGTGATATTATAGTTGCAAGCGATGCCAGTGCCTATGGCATAAGAGCATTCATACTACACAAAATGGATGATGGAAAAATAAAACCCATAGCCCATGCATCCCGTTCACTTTTACCAGCCGAAAAGAATTACTCGCAAATTGAGAAAGAGGCGCTAAGCATTATATTCGCAGTAAAGAAATTTCATCGTTTCTTGCACGGTAGACAATTTCTGTTACAAACAGATCACAAACCTTTACTAACGATTTTTGGATCGAAAAAGGGACTACCACAACATACGGCGAATAGACTCCAAAGATGGGGTACCATTCTTCTGAATTATAATTTTCAAATGGAATATGTACCATCTAAAAAACTTGGTCATGCAGATGGCTTATCAAGGTTAATACCTAAGCACACAGAACCATTGGAGGATATGGTAATAGCAGCCATTCAAGCGGAAGTTGAAGTAAAAAATACTTTATGTGACACGATAAGAGAACTTCCAGTAACGCTTGATGAGATTAAGAGTAAGGCAGAGGTGGACTAATTTATTATAAGCACGAAAGAAAAAATCAACAGTAACCAACTGGATGAGGAAATTTATTCAATTTGTGATAACGTCCTGTTATATAGCGACAGGGTCGTAATTCCTACGACATTACAGAAAAGAATGCTCAAGGAATTCCATGTAGGACATCCAGGCATATCAGAATGAAAAGCCTTATGCGCTCTTTCGTTTTCTGGCCAAACATGGATAAGGATATAGAAGAAAAAGTCAGGGAGTGTAGAGGATGCGCATTAGCTATGAAAGCTCCTCTGACTCAATTCGGATCGTGGGCAAAACCGGACCAACCTTGGTCGAGAATTCACTTGGATTTTGCTGGACCGTTAGATGGTTTCTACTATCTCATTGTTATAGACAGTCTATCTAAGTGGCCGGAAGTACTGAAATGCAAGAACCCCACATCCGAGGCAGCTATTAACTTCCTGTATGAATTATTCGCTAGGTTTGGAGTTGTAGACTATATTGTCACAGACAATGGAACGCAATTCACGTCTACTGAATTTAAACATCTCTGCGAGGATTATCTAATCGAGCATATAACCATTCCACCATACCATCCAAGAAGCAATGGGCAAGCGGAGAGATTCGTGGATACGTTCAAGAGAGCCCTGAGAAAGGCTAGTGGATCACCGACGGATAAGTCAATCCAACAGTTCTTACAAGTTTACAGGGTCACTCCGAATGTAAACATCAAAACGTCGAAGACACCTGCTGAGGTCATGTTCGGACGCAAGGTTAGATCAATTTTCCACAAGTTGTTACCAAACCAGGATAGGCCAAACCTCAAAAAACCAATAACAAAAAAACGGTATAAAGTTGGCGAAAGAGTTTTCTACAAGATTCATAGGAATAATAGGACCTTTTGGGAGTCCGGCACTATTGAGAAACAAATAGGCAACATGGTCTATATGATTAAGGGACCAGATTTCGTGCACAAACGTCACACTAACCAAATCCGGAAAAAGATACTCGAACAGTGAGGTGACCAGATCGCCCGAGGAGGACATCATGGACACAGTGTTTGATACTTTTCAGGTGCCCATACCAGAGACAGCTCCTGAGAATAGGAGGTCAGAAAGAAAACGAAATCAACGGAGTTGATTAGGGTGAACAAAACAAAAACGTTATTAATTCCCAGACGGGATATTTTCAAAGGGGGGTGTTGCACCGGCCTCTAACACAAGGGAATTACACCGGTTCTCACTATATATAGTCAGTAATACCTACCCGGGGTAAGCAGCGACAGTACTACAACTGCCTGGCTGAGTAGTACCCGTTTCCTACCTTTGTATCTGTGATGTTAAATACACTTGTTCCTTAAACCAACTTCGACTTGATTTTCTTATTTTTACTATTGTGCCACGACACAACAATATATATAACATATATATAATATTTAATAATAATTTAAAAAAGAAAGAGGCAAGTAATGAAGAAAAAGAAAAAGAAAGCAATACTTGAAAAAGAAAGAAAGAAAGAAGAAAGCTAAACGAAATAAAAATTATTGAACGCAAAAATTAATTAAAAAGGAAGAATGAAAAAGACTGAATGCAAAATAAATTAAAAAAGATACAAATAAACAAATAAGAAAGGGAAAACTAGAAAGTGAAAGTGAAAGTAAGACAAAGAACAGAAAAAGAAATAATATTGAAAGCAAAAATATCTTAAAAAGAAAGCAAGAAAGACGCAAGAAAGAAACAAAAGAAAGTAATGAAAAAGAGAAAGAAAAATTAAAAAGCTTAAAAGAAAAACAAAGTAAAAAGAACTAAAAATGACTGAAAGCAAAATTTATTTAAAAAATGAAACTAAAGGAGCAAGCAAGAAAACAACATGTTACAAAGTGAAAGTAAGTAAAAAGAACGGAAATACAAAGCCTGAAAGTAAAAATATATTAAAAAGAAAGAAAAAATCTGAAAGCAAAGATGACATAAAATGAAAGAATGAAAGTTGGAAAGAAGCTAAAAAGAAGAAAGAAAAATTTCTAAAAGAAAAAATTAATTTAAAAGAAAGAATCATAGAAGAAAGAAAAATGACTGGCAGCAAAAATGAATTAAAAAAAACTGAAAAACTGAGAGCAAAAACAGAGAAAGAAACAAAAAAGAAAGAAGCCAAAAACAAAGAAAAATGCAACAAACAAACAATGGAGAAAGAAACTAATATTACACAAACAATAAACGAAAGTTAGTGAGAAATAGGAAAAAATGAAAGGTAGTGAGAAAAAGGAAATGACACAAAGAGAGAAAAATATGGACAGGTCAACGAAAGTAACCCTTTGATTCGACTAATCTGTTTTCTGATTGTAAATAATTAGCATAAATTGACCCGGAAATGGTTTAACCATGAATATATGTTCTCTATTAATTTATGTTTTTATGTTGAAACGAGGAAAATTGACAGGACATTTATTATTGATTTTCTTCATTTGCTTTATTTACAAACGCAATGAATTGGCTGCAGGGTTTTCTATGGAATAGATTTATTACAAAGAGAAAGAAAGCAAACATTGATGAGATTTCTTCGAAAGTGGGATCGGAATTAATTAATCTCAGACTCTATTAAATCGAAATTATCGCTGCTAGATTATAATCTGCAAGACATGGACAGACGGATCAATAAAAGAACAATCTATGGCGTTGGTTGGAGGAATATATATATATATATATATATATATATATATATATATATATGCTTTATCTTCAGATATAGCAAGCAATTTTCGTTTAGAAAATAAATTTTCTGCATCCTTAAATGTTGTCTTAACCTGTTATTTTGAATTAAACCACTGTTATGAAATGTTTAAAAATATTTTACACGTATTTCCTGAGATAAACCTATCTTCTCGCTTGTGATGTTTGTCATTCAATTTATCAATAATCTTGTGTAAATGTATATATTCAGACGTAACTCACATATCTATCTATCGTGCAACATTTAAATATTTTCCTTTCATAATATATATTTTTTTTACAGCTTATCGACCTTTTGTAAGTTATTTAAAGCTAAAAAGTATTTTAGATTATAAGAGGTTTTGAAGATAATAATGATTTGCTAATACAACCCTACTTTTTAATCCATAGCTGATGGAATAAAAGGTGGATTCATACCTTTCCAGAAGCTGATTGCTCGTAGGTGGATGTAAAGAATTCTAATAGAATTGCATCTCGGCTCTACGATCTCCAATTTCGTGCTGTTATACATTACAACACCCGAATATCCTAGCTTACTGCACCTGGTATATCCAAGAAGTCAGCAATCTAGGTGCTGACCAGGCTCGACGTTGCTTAGCTTCGGTGATCGGACGAGATCCGATGATTCAATGAGATATGGCCGTAAGCCTGGCATAGTATGAAGAGTTATGTTTGCGTAATTTTTGTACAGTTGAATCATTTTCTTTTTCTTATTTTTTTCGTGATAGCGTTTCGATTTGTCAGTTATAGAGACTTGTAAATGTTATAATCATCTCTTCTAAAAGAAAAAAAAAGAAAAGAAATAGGCAGCACTTAGAACAGTCCTATATATTGATCGGTCCGGTTCATTCTCAGCAATGCAATCTGCACAGAAAATAACATTCAAATGAATCCACTCAGATGATTTTGATTCATCACATAGATAGCCTTGTCCCATATATGATTAGCCTACAGAAATCGTCCCTGTCTGGATACCACAATTACTTCTGAAATATTCTCGTAAGACACTCCCCTCTTATCCCTTCTCTTTTATTAACAAAAAACAAAAACAAACCGTTACACATAATTCATTTAAATTGTTCTCGTACATAAAGTAGACTGCCATATTCTTTTTTACATTGATAAGATCTTGTACATCAATCAATTTTATTTGGATTAGAATCTGCTAAATGATTTCTATTTTCGATTATATAACACGTTTTTAGTCTGGCGAACGTTAAATTTCTTCTTGACAGGATACTGTTATATTAAAAGGTATAAATCAAATGTATGAAGTAGTCTGGACTAAAAATAATTTACAAACCGCTGTTATACGCAGATTGTGTACATGTTTTATGATTCTAAACATCGAATCCCGAATCTCCCAAGCAATCTCGTAAATTTCTATATAAAGTTTCACTTGACTATTTGACACCAAATCCTCCCATTAAAACAGAAGCTGCAGGCAAAGTCTGCTCCGTTTCTGTTATTTGAGAAACTCGAACACTCATAATCCGAATGGTTAAATTATATCATGGGACTTAGGGAATTGCGAGATTTTTTTCGAAGAAATCACATATAGAACGAGATTTCAGGACGCAGAAATAATCGAAAACGTTTCTAGTATCAATTTCTTTAGCAGTTGTGTAATAAATGAGAAAAATAAGACATTCGTAGGTATTTCAGTTCATCGGTATTCTATCATTAGTCAGGCGCTGTTTTATTTTTTTTACTACGCGTAATTTTTCTTTTTGATTTGAAATAAAGAAATTGGATATTGAAAATTGTTTCAAATTTGGTTGCTGGCTATCTGTTTTGATTGTTTTATTTAGCAGGTTTATATTTTATATCAGATTAAAAACAATTATTTCTCCAAAAGCAATGTATTTCAAGGAAATTCCTGCTCGAACAGAACATTGATTTGTTGATTAATCAACGGCCATCTGCATTTGACACCATTTCGTTTAACATGACATAACTAATTCACCAACTTTATTTTTCTAGACATTTTGTTTATTTTTTTAAACATCTTTTTAAAATTTCTGGATTCTTTTATCTCACTTGGCCATTGCTTTATAACAGAACAATTTCGAATTCTCTCACTTCAAGAAAGGAACACAAAGTTTCATCTATACCCTAATCGAATAATACTCTTTATTCTATTATGCACGGGTTGTGAAATGGATAGCGATTCGGAACAGAGTTCACATTCCAGCCGAGTCTCGTTACATTTACTTTCCGATAAATACACTTGAGAAAAGTATGATTCCCCTACCAATGTGTTCAGTAGAACAGACTGAACTCTACAACCTTGTGTGATAACCTGAGAAGGAAACCTCTAAATTCAAAACCGTGTGTAGCTTTGGTAAGGCACATGAAGCTTATGAACGGATCGTGGAGTTTACTATAATACCTTAATTGATTGGCTTATTCTATTCCAAATTGGCTGATCCTCTATGTGAAAATAATAATAATTATTATTATTTAGATATACATACAAAATATTTTATCCATCTTTTGCGTACATTAGAACGGGAAGTTCTCAGTCCCGTCAACTTTGCAAAACCTGACCAAATAATCAGATTTTTAAAAATTTGATCTTGGCCCGGTTCAGAACATTGCAACAAAGTCCCAATCCTTAAGAGCTCGATACAAGTTATGATTTATATAGTAACTCAGTTTAGTCTCTCTGGTCTTAGCTGTCAGTCAGTTTAGAAGTAGGAAAACTCTGAATGGAGACCAGATTCAGTACCAGGAAACGGAGAGGGGTGGGTTGTTAGTCTAGCAAATAAATCCTATAGAACATAACTGCTATTAAAACCGGAATAAAATCATACTATCTGCTTGTGAATTTATGTCCCATAAGGAATCTGTAAACAGGTTCCTGTATTTGTCAAGATATAACATTGTTTCTCTAATTCATCAGCATGATGAATTAGGATGATTAATCAAAATGATAGAAGTTGGAGCTCAAAAGCTATGGATCGTTCGTCTCTTATTCTTTTGTATAAGTTCTTGCTTACTGTTGTGGTAGGATCCACCTAATTTGCATAGTGGAGTACCGACCATATAAATATGGTTGGTACCGGGAAGAGAGGGAGGAATCAAGAGATTCAACCAGAGACTCTACCCGACTGCGACTCAGTCAACACATTCTCCAGGAACAAATACAAAAGACTATATGTAAATATTGTGTACACTTTCTTGTTTCAATACATTTTGTTCTAAGTACATTTTGTGTTGCATTATTATTCCATGCATTAGTCAAGTTTCAACACTTACCTTTTTATATAAGATATCTCGCCTCTGAAAAGAAAAAAATAAACGAAACCAAATTTCAAATGAAATGGGTGTTTGGAAAAAAATATATATATATCTCATCCTGATAATATCATGTTTCTTTAGAATTACGGCCACATAACGTTGAAACTCTAGTTCTCGTATGACCACTGAAGTTAAGCAACATCGAGCCTGCTCAGTACATAGCTGCGTGACCATTTTGTAATAGCAGGTACCATAATCATATACGTGCGGTCGTTTTAATGGTCTGTTATTGTTAATCGTTGTGTTGTTATATTTACTTACGCGCAGATACACTTGGGAAAGGTATATTCGACTCTTCTCTCCCCTCCAGCTATAGGTTAATTTGTATCACTTAATCATTACTATATAAAACGATCTTACAATCTAAAAAATAATTCCTGGTTTTAAATAACCTGAAAAAGTGTAGAAAACGAATCAATCCCACTTTCTGAACAAGTTTAGTGCGGTAGTCTCATAAGTCATGGATTTGTATTAATGAACTTCTTTAACGTGGCTGAAAGTACACTATGGATGACACGATCAAAGGATTTTCTCATATTCAATGTCATGAATAAGTTGAACGAAAACATGTGTATAATCATGCGACCAAGTAAAGAAAGGCCAAGAATAACATCTTCTCATGATGGGCGTTTGTCCCAGAAATGCAGATCAAAAAATTGATGAGGAAACTTTCAGTTCAAAAGCGAAATTCACACTTTTTTTAAAAAGCAATTCACCGCAAGCAAAGCGTGAGGGCCACTAGCACGCAAGGGGTTACAGAGGATTGAGAACAAGATTAAGGAGGTGTGTTTGAGTAATGGATACAGAAAAGGACGGGGAACAAACTCAGGGTGTCAGATGTCGATTGACATTACACTTGAATATTCGAAGATTATAGTCATCCGGGAAGCAAGTAAAGGAAAGGATGTTCCACAGACGGGAAGTGCGAGAGAAGAAGATGTTTGAGTAGAAGAGACGTTTACATATAACCGTTTCGACTGTGAAAGGGTGGGTCCGAGGTGCCAGCCTAGTAGCTCGCTTAACTTCATGCAGTCTGGGAACGAGCGAAAGTAGCTCGTCTGAACAATTGATGAAGATTGTCCTTGACTTTCGAACGCCCATTCATTTTAGAACTGGGATAACTTTTTTTTTTTTAAGAAATCAGGTTTCTTTGAGAAATCAAATTTCGTTTTCTAGCTGATTATCTCTCGATGAATATTTTACGGCATGAAAATACTTAACACTCAACGTTCTATCTCTTTACATCCAGGCATGGTGCCGGTATCAGTTTAATTATGCACTTTGTGTATAGACTTAATTTATAGTTTTCAGGTGTGAGCCATACCATGTATCATCAATATGCTTTTGGGATTTAGGGCAAGTTCTTCAGTTCATAAAAATCGTTTTCTTTGACAATATAAACAGTTTACTATTAATCTTATATCCATAGATTAATGAGGATGGACAGGTTTTATAATAATTTTCAGTGTAGAAAGCTGATTTCAAATTCCACTCTATACTTAAATCCAGAATTGAGGGAAAGTTGGAATAAAAGAGTAGGTTGGAAAATTCATTCAAAGTGAATTTATTTTTGAAAAAAAAAGGCGAGAAAGATGAAGTTGGAATAAACGTACAGTGTGAGAAAACGGAAAATACAATAAATTGGAGTTCTAGTGTATGGGTTGCAAAAAATGAAATAGCTGAGCAGGCCAGGCTATTCAGGATACGAGAGTAGCGTGGCGTTCTCATCGCATTGATGCCACTGGAAAAGGCATAAATTTAATCTCCTAGCGCTCAACTATGGATTAAATTTCAGAGCAGACTGTGGTTTCTAACCTAGGGTAGCAAGAAGTCTAAGAGGATAAACCTGAATTTAGAACCGAGAAGGAAACGGGAAAGCATTTCCTTATCTTTCTCAGGAAGGTATGTCAATTCATGGAGAACAAAAATGGAGCTCATGGAAGTCCATGAATGCTTATGTTTTGTATACAGAAAGCTTTTTAAAAATAATGAATGAATAATCGACAAAATGCTCTTGGTATCGATATTTGCATCACATTTTACTGAGAGGATCAATTGTATTGCATCTTTCTTTGATTTTGACATCAAGAATCGTACATATTCATTGAACGGCCTAGTGTATAAGACGTATATGCTATAACTATATTAGAGGGACGATCGTATAGCTGTCCAGTTCGAGCATCGATAGACTGGCCCATAATCATAATATTAGGGCATAGGATACACTATAATATTTGCGTCTTTTTAAACATTTAAATAAACTTCTTATATGCTGCTAACGTAAAACAAAGAAAATAGTAGTGAACTGTTATATAATCTCTATCCTCCAAAATGTTGGTGAAT